TAAAGTGTTCTATGCTGGTGTACAGTACGCTTCGCAGTGCTTCTGTGGAACTGACTTCAGCAAATATGATTCAGCAGATGAGGCGGACTGTAGCGCTGCATGTACTGGTGACAGTAACGAGAAATGTGGTGGAACATGGAGAAACTCGGTCTATAAAATAGGTATGAAATATATTAACATACATCTTCAGAGACAAAAATAGAATTTAGCCGTTCGTATAAAGATGTATGAATGTTTTTGAGTGTCTTTCTTATTTGGAAAATACAATCACATCATATTTACGTCACATTCGAACACTTTTCCTTGTTCACGCAATCTCCTTCCCATAGATCTTTGTAATTTACAACCTTCAATTTTGTGGACAATCGCCTTACGTCGCACGGTAATTTTGTCAGTTGTTTCACTTGAAACCGAACTGCAAAAATCAGAAAAAAAATGAAGATATACAACGTCAATGTGTGCTATACATATTTATGATTAATTTTGATGAAGTAAAGACATCTTAACGCTGAATAGTAAAATACGATTTTTGTGGCACACGTTCAAACTATGTCTCAGGCATTACGCGAGATCTCGCACAACGTCTCTTTGGATCTAGTTTTCAACCAAAGGAGTACACACACATACTCAAACACGCCACAAGACAATCCTTACAATTGGCTAAATTAATAGATCGTAGCATTGGATCGCGACATGGAAACTTCGGTATTTCTTGTTTTCTTGCATGCTGTCCTATTTTAATATCTTTTTGGGTTAGGAACGTCCCTCAGTGTTACGAGTAATATTAACCCTATAAGTTACCTTGCTCATTTACTGAGACTATCACTACCTATTCATAACGAAAATGATAAGTTAAATATGGTTATAGCATTTTTTCTATACAAATATGACAGTATGATAACTCTACACCGTGTGTTATGCACTCGCGTGGTTTTCTGATTGATACGACTGTTTAATAAAAACATTTTTGTTTCAGAAATCGTATAAATGTTATCCATCGAACCAAGCAAGCAAGAACAGGACAGTTATAAGTGTTTGAAGATCTCTATGATGCTAATTCACGGAACAATCTCATTAGTCTTGATAAATCGTGTTCTCATTCATCTTGTTCCTGTAGTTGATGATAGTAATGTAGAATAAACGCATAATTAAAGCAAATGATGCCATGTGTCAGTGTGTACGTGCTTTTTGTGCGTATCAGCAAAGCATGTTATGCAAACCAACTGATCACTGAGAAATGTAGTTTGTCCAAAATATTGAATATAATTTGTATCAAAGATTTTTATATCAACCTCATGGACAGATGTATTGTGTTAATACAGGAAAGGTGTGGTATATATATATATATATGTATGTATGTATGTGTCTGTGTCTCCAGTATCTTCACATATTAATTCTTCTGTTTTTTTTGGCTTGGCCAATTTCGCTCGAACTTGGCTGACAGGTCAGTAGGTAGAAGGTAAAATCAGTAAAAATTCTGTCCCACCATTGCCCACAACAGCCAAATACTTTTGAACAGCTTCGCGCGAAATGTATCTTCTACATATTTAGGATTAAATTTTTGATATCTTTTTTTATTACCAAGAAATTTGAAGTTGTGGTAACTTTTCACCAGTTAACTTACTTTTAACTTCTGTGATTTTTTTTGTTCATACTTGGCAGGCAGGTCATACCGTTACTAATTGTAAAAAAAAATCTATTACCTTCTACCAACCTTGTAATAGCAGTGTTCAAATGATCATGCGTTTTTACTTTGGCTAAGTTGCGCACCGACAGGAGATCACAGGCGCCAACATTGTTACACTGTACGAGCGTAATCCCAACACAACTTTGAACATTGAATGAAATGTAATTACTGCATTAAATCAAAGAATCTAGAAAATAGATTGGGTCATATAGATGTAATCGAAACAATCAGTAAATTTGGAAAGGAAATCTCCACTCCTTAGGAAACGGCTACATATATCGGTACATATTTCAGCCACACTGAGAAAACAGCTACGTAGATCTGTGCATTCCTACTTTTCTATCACACTGAGGAAACGGCTACATAGATCGGTGCATTCCCACTTTTCTATCACACTGTGGAAACGGCTACATAGATCGGTGCATTCCCACTTTTCTACCACACTGAGGAAACAGCTACGTAGATCTGTGCATTCCTACTTTTCTATCACACTGAGGAAACGGCTACATAGATCGGTGCATTCCCACTTTTCTAT